GCCCAGGTCGCGCGCGGCCGCTCACGGGCCTCTCTCTTGCTCTCTTCCCTCCCAGACGAGATAATTAGCACCTTAGGGGAAGGCACGTTCGGCAGAGTGGTGCAGTGCGTCGACCACCGCAGGTACCCGCTCGCGCGGAGGAGAAGGAACGGCGCGGCGCGAAGCCCCATTTTCTTGTTTAACGGGGAACGTGGGTGGAAGCGACTCTGCTGCCCGCCCCGCCTGCTCATCCCGTGCTCCCTTCTGCGTCTGCGCAGGGGTGGTGCGCGCGTTGCCCTGAAAATCATCAAAAACGTGGAGAAGTACAAAGAGGCTGCGCGCCTGGAGATCAACGTGCTGGAGAAGATCAACGAGAAGGATCCCGAGAACAAGAAGTGAGTGTGTCCGGGGACGGCGCGGGGAGGAAGGGGCTCCCGGGACGGTGCTGCGTCCTGCGTGGTCGGGCTGGCCCGTGCTCGCTCCGGAGGTTGCCCCGTGGCCGGGAGCGAAGCGGGGAAGCCCAGGCCTGGCGCGGGGCGGACGGCGCCCGGCGTGCGGCTCTGCCCCTCACGGGAGTTTCTCTCTCAGCCTCTGCGTGCGGATGTTTGACTGGTTTGACTACCACGGCCACATGTGCATCTCCTTCGAGCTGCTGGGGCTCAGCACCTTCGATTTCCTCAAGGACAACAACTACCTGCCTTACCCCATCCACCAAGTGCGGCACATGGCCTTCCAGGTGTGCCAGGCTGTGAAGTGTAAGTGTCCTCCGCTCCTCCGTGACCTGGTGTCCGCGCGGCTCCCGGAGCGAGCCCTTGTCCCAGACCCGATGGCCCCGTTCCTGATGCTCCTGTCTGAGCCTGTGGGGCTGCAGGGTGCCAGCGGGAGCCGAGGGAGCGGGGCCGGGTGTGCGGGCCGTGACGCTGCCTCCTCCTGCCTCCTCAGTTCTGCATGACAACAAACTCACGCACACTGACCTCAAGCCCGAGAACATCCTCTTTGTGAACTCGGACTACGAGCTCACCTACAACCTGGAGAAGGTAACGAAACCTCCTGCTTTTCGGAGCCTTGGGTTGCCTGGGGCCCTGAGCTCGGCGCGGGCGGAGGTGGGAGGTGGCCCTGGGTGCTGCGTGTTGGAACGGTGACATCCCGGCTGGTTTGGTGTCTCCCCGTGCCAGCTGAGCTCTGGAGACCTCAGGGTGACGGTGCGGGTGGCGCTGGGGAGCGGGTGCCAGCCCCAAAGGTGCCCTCCAAAGCAGAGCCCTCCTGGGTCCCCTTGGCTAAGCCCGCCCGGTGACAGTCCCCAGTAACTGATACCCCTTCCCTCTCCAAGAAGCGGGACGAGCGGAGCGTGAAGAGCACGGCCATCCGAGTGGTGGACTTTGGCAGTGCCACGTTTGATCACGAGCATCACAGCACGATCGTCTCTACCAGGCATTACCGGGCCCCCGAAGTCATACTGGGTAGGTGCCGCGGGCTGCTGTTTGCCCCGAGGCGTCGGGCACGGCCTGGGGGTTGAGAGCATTTGCCCCGTGTCACTCGGTGTCCTGGGCACACGCTGGGGTGGGAAGGGCCTTACGGGAAGGGGCTCCCCAGTGGCGTTTTGTGGGAGTGCCAACAACTTGTAAGTGGGAGCCTTGGCCTGGCTGGGCTGTGCGCTGCCCCAGCAGGAGGGGAGAGCTTCCCTTCAGCTGCTCGTTTGCTTTGTGCAAGGGGGAGGACGCGGGGCTCGGGGGCGGTAACTGATCTGTCCTTTCAAACGCCCTTGTCTTGCAGAGCTTGGCTGGAGCCAGCCCTGCGACGTGTGGAGCATCGGCTGCATCATCTTTGAGTATTATGTGGGTTTCACCCTGTTCCAGGTGAGAACCGGGGGCTGCGTGGCCACCTCACAGCTGCTGGAAGAGGAATCCCGGCTGTCTCCAGCCAGGAGCCCCGGAGATCCCTCCATCACTGCAGTTTGGTAGTGATGCCCCAGCTGGCCAGGAAGGGATCCCGAAACGGGGGAGAACCCGGGGCTGCAGAGGAAAACTACGGAAACCTGTTCCATGCCCCTCCTCTACCTTTATTTCCCTCAGACACATGACAACCGGGAGCACTTGGCCATGATGGAGAGGATCTTGGGGCCAATTCCTTCTCGGATGATCCGGAAGACGAGGTGAGCAAGGCCAGGGGCGCACTGCAGGCTCCACGGCTCTTTCCAGCTTTTCCCCCTGGAAACAGTGGTTCTCTTTGGAGGGCTCAAGCTTGGAAGCAGCCTCTAGAGTCACCCAGGCTACCGCGGAGCGGGGCTGTCACCCCAGGCTGCTCCGTGCTCCTTTCTGCTGTAACCTGTTGCCACCTCTCCCTTCCGCTGGCAGGAAACAGAAGTATTTCTACCACGGCCGCCTGGACTGGGACGAGAACACGTCTGCAGGCCGCTACGTCAGGGAGAACTGCAAGCCGCTGCGGGTACGCGGGGCGGGCACCAGCCCCGGTTTTCAGCTTCGCGCGGGCTGCGGAGAGGTTCAGAGCGGGGTTTCCAGGGCTCTGGTGTGAAGAGGGAAGGTGGCAGCAGCCTAAGCTCAGTGCGAAGGGCGGGAGGAGGTTTGGGAAGGGGCGGGAGGGTGTGAAAAGGGGGTTCATCACTCGTTGCAGTGCCCCCCGGTCCAGGTTTAGGACCAGCAGGGCATGGGGAGCACACGGTGGCCTTCACCCTGAGCTGTCCCTCCGTGTCCCGCAGAGATACCTCACCTCGGAGGCCGAGGACCATCACCGCCTCTTCGACCTCATCGAGTGCATGCTGGAGTACGAGCCGTCCAAGCGCATCCCCCTGGCCGAGGCCCTCAAGCACCCCTTCTTCGACATGCTGGAGATGGAACCAAGCACAAAAATGTGGGACTCTAGCCGAGACATCAGCCGGTGACGCCACAGGTGCCAGCCTGCTTTTTTTTCTTTATTTTGTTTGCCTTTTTTCTTTTTATATATATATATATATATATATACACACACATAAAAGAACTCCCTGGACATGTTTGTAAAGCTGTTAATATGTGAGATACTGTAAATAGCCCATATTCTATATTGGCCTGTGAGCACCAAAGGCCCAAGCTCTGCTGTTGCTGCTGCCCTGCTCCCCGGCGCGTGGCCGTGCTGTAAATACCTCTGTTCACGTGTTGCTTTGTCTCTGGTTCGCTCCTGCCGCCGCCGCCTCGGTGTAAATACTCCAGGACTCGGCTCTCTGTAGCTTCTCTGTTTCCTTGTAAGTTATGAAACTGGTGGGACTGCATGGGAATTATTTTTTGGATCAATGTCATAGCCCATCCCCACACCAGAGTTTTATAAGAATTTTGTACAGTCTTTGTGAAAAATAAATATGAAGTGAATAAACCTTTGGTGTGCGGCTGGCCTGGCAGGAGGCTGCTTCAGCCTCCTCGCTGGGCTCCTGTGCCCAAGGCCCTCAGCGCGACGGAGCGCTGCACCCGGCTGCGCCAGGTCCCTTGGGAAGGGGAGGACGCGCGGTGCTTTCCTTGGCCACGTGCGGGGAGGTGCAGGAAGCTGCTGCTTCCCGGCCCCTCGCTAGCACAACCTGCTCTGTCCGCCTGTGCCCGTCCTGCTCTGCCTTCTCGGAGCTGCTCCTGGCTCCCAGCGCTGCAGCTGGCTCTGGGATGAAGCCGGGGCAAGCAGGTTTTGCTGTAGGCAGAGGTGGGAAGATGCTGAACGGGCAGCGTGTCCAGCTGGTAGCAAAGGAAGAGCAGGGGGCCGTGTCGCTGCCCGCAGGACGAGGGCGGCTCTCGGAAGCCGAGGGCCGGGCGTCTGCATCAGCTCCGAGGAACGTCTGGAGTCAGCAGCCAAACAGGCTCTTCCAGCGCCCCGGAACGGCCGCCTGCAGCTTTGAGCTCCTGCCAGGCGCGATGCCGCGGCCACGGCCCTGCTGCGGACGCTGTTCCCGGCGGATCGGCCCAGGAACGGGCCGCGTTCCTGGGAGCGTCGCGCTGCGGCCGGCGGGAAGTCTCCTTGGGGCCGGGACGTGTGCGGAGCAGCTTAGCGCCTCGTGCCAGCACCATCTGCTCGCCGCTGTCCTCGTCCCTGGGGATGAAGGACAGGAGCAGCTTCACCTGGGCGGGGGTGAGACCCCGAGGGGTGACATTGAGTCATTTTCATGTGCTTATGATCCATAAAGAGCTTCGGCTGGGAGCTTTAATTCGCCCGGGCGGGCAGCGCCGGCCGCGTGGCTCCGAGGAAGGCGCCGCGGCCCCATGAGCGGGAGCAGAGGGAAGAGCAGCTGCCATCAGCCCCCGGGTGAGTAGGTTGAGCCAATAACTCGCCTGCGGCCACCCCTTGGGCTTTACAAGGCAAAACAGAAAGCTGGTATCCAAAATCTGCAATAACAGCTTTCGAGCACCCGGCCGCGAGCGCCGCTCGAGGTGCCAGCTGGCTGCGCTGCAGCGGAAGGGAGTAAACTCGGGTGTGCGACATCGTAAGTCTCTATTCAGGGCTAAGGAAGGATTTTCTCTGAGAGAGGCGCAGGACCAGGATCTAGACAAGCAGGGAGACCACGCTGTGTGGTTCTGGGGATGCTGAGGAAGTGCCTCTTGGGGTGGGGGGCAGCGAGTGTCCATGTGCGGCTGGGAGCGGGCAGAATCAGCTAAATCTGGGATTCCTGTAAATAATGGGGCAAGGAGATGCA